GGGGGGACGTTAATCCTGGGAAAGAGCGGGGGGTGCTGTCTATGGTTGAGTTTGTGTATGTTTAGGAGACTGGGGAGGGGAGTCTGAATAGTTAAAAGATGGCAAATATTGGCGATGGGAATACAAAAGGGAGGAGGCTATTATTGGGGGAAAAGTGAAAGAAACTAGCATACCTGAAGTGTGCCTGGGAACTGGGGATGAGGATCCCTTCTGCATTCCTGTCTTCTCTTTCCTTTTTAACCATTATTGGACTGGGTGATTTGTGATTATGGATTAGCTTCAGAATTACCCCCACAGCAGCCTTGCTTTACCTAACACCGACCCCTCCCACCTTATGGAGTCTTCAGAAAGGGAATGAAGATCTTCTAATATATAGTTTTGGAGGTGAGGGGCTACATAATTCTTTGGTCAAGAGGAATGTCTGTTTTAACCTACAATCAACTGTAAACCAGTTGGAAGAATAAAACTATAAGTAGGGTAGGAATATGTTTGAGTCTTATGGATTAGGGATGAAAATGTTGGATTAATTGATGCCACTCTATTGAGCGCTTAGGCAAACGAGTTCTGTGTTTGCTCTCCCATACAGGTCAGAGTATTGGTGTAAGAGGAGTCATATATGCTGCGATACTCAGCATAGTGTTAAAGGGAGTAATACATTTAAACATGTTTGTTTATTAAGTTTATATCCGCTGTTTCATTCAGGGGCTCAAGGTGGCATACAGAGTACTCCTTCTTCCTATTTTTCCCCACAACAGCCATGTGAGGTTGGTTGGGCTAAGAGAGAGTGATTGGTCAAAAGTCATCCAGTTAGACTTTGGCTGAAAGTAGACTAGAACCTGAGTCCCCTAGAAGATTGGCATCTTGCATTCTTTTACTCAGTGCTTGTTTGTTGTTAGTATATTTTATAAATGATAAAAAGGTTATGTAAATCTTTGGATGTGTAGATATCTTGTAGCTTTGAACATAATGTTTAATTCTGCAATTAATAAGTGCTAAGACTACACAAACATTGCTTTTAAGGTAATGGGCCCATTCTTGTATTTACAGGTTTTGTGAAAAACAGAAAATAAGATTGCTCCAAAGTTTTGTCCTGTAAGCAATCACTGCTTTATAGAGTTAACAAGTTTTAGAACTTAATTATGTAGAAGACATTGCATATATGATAGTGTAGGCTTTTTTTAACTTTTTTTTTTTGGAATACTGTGCATTGATGCTATAAGATGGAAGGAATAATATATAAATGCAGTTTTGATTTTCTTGAAGTGCTGGATACTTCATGTTAAACTGAACTTTAACCAGATTGGCAGGCCCTTTTCAGTTCAGTTTCATTGACAAATACTGGATTAAAAGATGAAGCAACATGTCTAGTGAACGTTGGCAGTTTGAATTATTTTAACTTGATAATTTAGTTACAAGATAGAAAACATGTATGTAACAGTAGTTTAGAGAAGTGAATTGGAGGATAGCTGGGAGTACACATTATATTGTTCCATTTGACTTCAGTTTTAATTCCTATAATCCTTTAGGTGTGTACTGTTTATAATTTGTACCGCAATTCTGAGAAGAAATTCTCCATTTGAGAGAATTTCAGGGTGTGTAATCAGCTGATGCTAAGATTGTTTTTACAGATAATTCTGAACACAGTTGCCCTTGCTTAATGTCTTAGCACAAGGCAAATTTATGTATTAAAAGGCAATATTTTATAATCAATGTGACTCTTCCATTTAATGTGCAAATGTATAAAAATTAATATATTAAGATAATGTGACAAATGAATTTTGCTCATAACTATCAGATAAATTTAAAATCTGCTAAATATAAGCTAAATTTAGCATGCTATCCATATGGTTACACACAGTCTGTATATTTATTTATCTTGACTAGTGTGATGGAGAGCCAATAGCTGGACTGTCTGTGCCATGTATCAAAAAGTCTGCATTTAATTTCTGTATGTTAGTTAAATGTAATCAGTGTAATTTGTCATATAACTTAGGTGTAAAGTCAATGTCAGCTATGTTATATTTATTCTGCACCAATATGAACAGAATAAGACCACAGGTTAGGCATGTTAAAACACTATGACACCTTAATGAAGCCAGTAACAGTTTAGTGGCCAAAATCTGAAAAGAAGTAACCAGGGAACGTATTTGGATGAGTTTATATGACTTGAGAACAATAGATACTGATAAGGGGGAAAAAGACAAGCAGATTCTCCTGTTTTCTTAGCTGAAGACCAGCACACCTATATTAAAATGTAGAGAATAGTAATTATGATTAAGCATATAGGCTAGTATGATCAGCCTGAATTTCTCTAGATATCTTGGTCTTCATTTTCCACAATGCCCCATCATGCAATCTGATAAGTACACAGATTTTTATACAATAGATTTTTTTCCTCTCATGCTTATGAAAACTCAAGTCATTATAGAGATATTCTGCCTGAGTAAGCTGCTCAGTTGACTAAAGAGCCTCTGATAAACTATTGAAGAAGACCTGACAGTTGCTCAAGTCCCTTTCTCCTGGCTGTGGTGGGTTATGGGAAAGCAAAAACTATGACTGGAGATTTTACAAACACAGTGTCTGCCTTTCTGTAGTCTGCTGATTCGTGGATTAGGCATTAGGATGGTTCCAGTTCATATTTTGGTCACTTCAGGGAATCCTACTTTCTCTAATGAAGTCCGTGACAAATTATAGTGCTGGGCTACACAACTTGTATCACTGGAACCTCTCCAATAGTTGTATATTGAAACCAGAACATAATTTAATAAATTGAGAGATTTCACATAAATGTATTTATTAATATACTTTCAATTCAATTTCATATTTAGTTTTTTACTTGTTGTTGTTGACATTTTGGAATACAGTTCCCAACATACCATGTAAAAGCCAAGTGTGAATCTTGACCTAATGTGATGCTTCAAACTTAGTGCAAGGTTAAAATCCCTGTTCCCCTTGGAGCTGAGAAAGGAAGCATTCCTAGAATCTCTGCAACTGCTAGAACATTTCTTTGTCCCCTTTCTAGTTCTCCCTCTTGAGGGAGGGACTAGCCTTGTGTCTGCAGCATTTATTTGTTTAGAAAATTCATATCTCACTTTTCAGCTGAAGGAGCTTGCCAGTTGGCTTATGAGGTAAATTGCAAACTTATGCAATAGTATCACAATATAAAAGGGCAGTTATTAAAAAAAACCCCAGCAACGATAAACCATTTGTAACTGCTATGTATACAGTTTAAGGGATGGGGGAAACTGATAAGATGATATAAGGCTATTGTGATAATTCACTTGAAAATTAAATGAGGGAGTCAGCTGAGATCTTAAGGACCAGTATTCTAAAATCTTGAAATTGCAACTAAAAAGACCCTGTCTTGTATTTAAGATACATAATACTCTGCAGATAAGGGATGTAGTAAGCAACTATTATCAATTATTATTGGAAAAACTTAGGCAAACTGATTAAATGAAGATGGTTTGCAGACAGATTTATGAAGAACCATTGAGGTATTTAGAGGTAATTATAGCACTTTATGCTAGAAACGAGGCAACTAATGTGTTAC